CAAAGTAGCCGGCTCTCGTAAAGCAAACACGAAATAAATACGAGTTAAAAAAAACCGGAGTGTACGGTCATTGTCTGTAAGAAGTTTACGATCGACGGGTTCATGGTATCGTGGTACTGCCCTGTCTCGTATGTGTGTTACTGGTACCACATGGTAGGCTAAGGTGAGCAATGGTACTGCAAGAAAGTGGTTTAAAGTGGTACCCGACTGCCAGGAGCGCAGAACGGCGAGGAGGTGGCCTGTGCACCTGGACAGGTGCGCGCTAGCCATCAACGGTACTTATTGCCCGGCTGACCGTGAGAAACACTTGCAACGTTTACGTGTTTCACTTGTTTACCTGAAAACAGGGACATTGTGACGCGATATATGGTGGTACCCAGATTTTTAAATTGGTTGGTAGGACCATATGTGTAGTGGTACCCAATATCTTTATGTGGAACCTATATTTGACTTAAAATTTAATAGATTAACATTTTAGATGCACTTTTTTATATACTATAGTAAATATCGATTTTTGATCAATTTAACATAACTTCACTGCAAAATCACAAATAATTTGTATTTTACTGTACTTTTTGACAAGTTAACAACTTAAAACTTACCATACCGGATGTCTCACCATTCAAGGTTTATTGTATAAATCGTTTATTGTTCTTTAATATCAACTCGTCTGTCATAAAGTGCAATAAAAAACAAAACAAATGCATCTGACATTCTTTTTAATAAAATAATTTTGACCTGGTAAAAACTCGAGCAAAAATATTTTTATCGAAAAAATGAAGGATAAATTTGGCAACGTGGGTTTCGAGGTACCATCAGTAGGTATAGCCGTACCACAGAATATTCTGTGGCCGTACCATGCTCAGTGTGAAATTATCGATGTATACTATAGTATGAACCGCAATAAAATTGTAGTCGCTACCACAGTACCGTTTGCAGAAAAAATCCAAATATCCATTAAACATTATTCTCTTTTTGTGGCCATATTATTTAATTATCATCGATCCGCTGAAAGAGTAAAAATAACTTTTATATCGGTACCGCTATAAATCCGACATTTAATTGCCGTACTTAAGACGGTACCACGGTACCACTACCGTGTGGTACTCATCGATTAAAAGTCGCAACGTTTCTTGGGTACCGCTTGTATTATTTTATAGAAAACACGGTCGACCATAACTATAAACAAAAGCCGTTTAATTAGAGTTTGTTTGGTACGACTATTAGCTGTTGACAGTAACAGGCTTGAACTTTTTTAACCTAGCACAAAAATAACGTAATACTTTTTTATTAATTGGCCATATAATCTTCATTTCTCAATGGATTTTATTAAGTTTTTTAATATTGTATGGCCTCTTTTTACAATAACTAAAAACTTTTAGTTTAAGAAAACAATATTTCCTGGTAAGTACAGTCTAAATTTTGGTTTAGCCAAAAACTTTGTTAACGTAGTTTTACAAAAATATCATCTTAATTAAAAATATGTAAAATCAATCTTTAAATATTTAAACATAATTCTACCAAAAATCAATTTTTAAAAAGGACTGGCTACAGCAATAAAGCGTTAAACTTTTTTTATTGAAACAGTTTTGCATACCCAAGTGTATATTTTTATTTTAAAACTTATTTAAAAATTTCTTTAAAATATACATAACAAAGTTAATTTTTAAAGTGTAAGTAAAAAATAGGCATATCCTGAAAATAAAGCACTAAAAATGTGTTATTATAATTTCAAGTTTTAATTTTTGACACAAATGGCCGATTCAAGCGCGCGAAACGCACGAATTACAAAACTGTTTTTATAAAAAAAATTGTAGATAATTTATTATATAATATTTATTATATAATATTTTGGCATCAAAATTGTCAAAAATATTCTTCTTTTATTAGGATATACATTAAATAAAAAAACGCAAGAAATATTTGATTAAAGTAGAGATAATTTTAATAATTAAAGGTGTGGACAGGACAAAAAAAAGATTTATCTTGTCCCGTCCACACCTATCAAATGTTGAAATTTCTACTTTTATAAAATATTTTTTGCGATTTTTTTTTATTTAATGTATAGCCTAATAAAAAAAGAATATATTTGACAATTTTGATGCAAAAATAATATATAATAAATTATTCGTCAATTTTTTTTTATATTTAAAATAACGACAAGTTTGGTAAAGCATAGGGTGTAAAATAAAAACTGTTTATATAAAAGTCATTGGACTAAGTATAGGAAAAGTAGAACCAAAACGTTTTTCAAGAATATCTTATTTTTTCTGAATACAGGAAATATTAGAAATATCAGGCTATACAATACTTAAATAATATGATTAACCATTAAGAAATAAAGAATATATAGCAGAATAAAAAATGGTCAAATTCCACTAAAATCTTTATAATGTGGACTGGTCAACCTAAATTAATTCGTTTTTAAAGTTTTAGTTTTGTATTATGTGCCGCTTTGGGTGGTGCCTATAAATTAAAGAATTATTTGTATCGTTGAAGAAGTATGTAAATTAAGGCACCTAACGAGATGTAAATCTTGAATTTAGTGGTACTGCAGAGAAAGTACTTTCTTTAAATTACTCAATAGTTTAATTAAAAATAAAAGCATTAAGTGTTGTTTTAATTGCCATAGCTACATTAAATCCTTTTTTTATTATTTTAATTTTAATGTATTGAATTAATGTAAGGCATAAAAACTTAATGGTTCAATTGTATACAAAATATCAAATTAAGATTATTGTAATATATGGATTTAAACAGCACCAAATTAAGGGTTTCCTCATTTTCACTCTGCAAATTTTCTCTTGAAATGACAGTATTTTCTAGAGAAAGCACTTTCTTTGTATTTACCAATATCTAGTTAAATTGTTCAATTTTAGTTAATTTGTGAAAGCCTATAAACATTTTCGTTTATGTACAAAGGTAGAAATAATCATGGAAGCGATAAATTAATAATGTACCGCAGTAAAGTACCATAAACCCACCAAGAAGGTACCGACATTAAGTAATAAATCAGCGTTTATTTGTAATTGAGGTTATGCATATCAAGGTGTGTCTAGTTCTTGGTAGTAAAAATAGCAGTACCTACCAAATAAAGATATGACGTGTTTTATTTTTACTCAGAAAATTGTCTAATGATGGTACGCCTACTACATGATTTTGTTATCATTTTAAAGTTGATTTTTTTGAGCAGTTAATAAATAAAAATACCTTTTTATATAAAGAAAACCTTTAATTCCTTTGGGTATTTTTATCTTCAACGGGCGCCGTTTTATTTTTTATTCAGGAATTATTTTTATGTGTTAATACTAGAGTGATAGCTATTTTTTATTAGATAACAAATACCACATAAGAATTTTTATTCTGCTAATTAATAATATCATAGCAGATATTTTAAAATTAGATTTAATTTTTATGCCAAACTGATATTTTTAATTTAAAATGTGTTTTTTATGGTTGTATTTTTTATTAAACACACATTTTTAATTAGCCTAATAAAAAATAAGATTTAATTGTTTGCCAAACAGATATTTTTTATTTAGTAAATTTAAAATATTTGTTTCTTATATTTTTAATTTAAATTAAATCGAATTACACATAATTTAAATTCACTAAATTATAAATATCAGTTTGGCATAAAAATTAAATCTAATTTTTAAATATCTGCTATGATATTTTTAATTCGCAGATTAAACATGTTCATGTGATATTTTTTATTTATACATATGTTTTACTAATATTTTTAATATTACACTGCGCGTCAAAATTAACGCATAATAAGTAAAAAATTCCAACTCTAAACCGCCTTTATCAATCTTTATGAAATTTTTATATAAGAATACTTTAAGTTATATCTCAGTTTACGTGTTCGAGGGTTTTTCAAAAAAATATTTTTAAAGCCCTTTTATTTAATATTAAAAAACCGCTTGAAAAAAAACTTTTATAAGGAATTTTTTTTAAGTAAATTAAAAATATGCTGTTAAAGACCGTATTTTTGTTAGTATACCCTGAAAATTGACCCCTTTTTGATTATTTTGCTGAAAAAAAATTCCCTGCTGAAAAAAAATTCCCTATAAAAGTTTTTTTCAAGCGTTTTTTTAATATTAAATAAAAGGGCTTTAAGGATATTTTTTCGAAAAACCCTTGAACACTTAAACTGAGATATAAGTTAAAGTATTTTTATCCAAAATTTTATAAGGATTGGTAAAGGCGTTTTAGAGTTAGAATTTTTTTACTTATTATGCGTTAATTTTGACGGGCAGTGTATTATTTAAAATATTTACTTCTTTTAATTGTTTTTTTGTCCAACATTTTTTTTAATTCGCTTAATTAAAAATATCATAGGAGAAATTTTTAAATGAATTATTTTTTTTTTAATTTGATATAATTGAAGACATTTTTAATTTTATTTAATTTTTATTTTATTGAATAAGCCGATATTTTTAATTGAATGGGATATTTTTAATTTCGATTGAAAGTTTGGACACCCCTGGTATTGAATTAGTTTTGAATACATTCAATTAAAACTATCTGCTTATTTAAAAAAATATCTCCCATGATATTTTTAATGAATTTAAAAATTTCTTTTATGATATTAAAAATATGTAATAAACTAAAAAATTCAAATAAAAGAAACAGATATTTTAAATTCACTAATATAAAAATATCAGGTTGGCATAAAAATTAAATTTAATTTTAAAATATCTACCATGATATTTTTTATTCGCAGAATAAAAATTTTTATATGATATTTTTTATCTAATTGAAAATATCACTTTAGTGTTAACACATGAGAATAATTTCTGAATAAAAAATAAAAAAGGCATAAAAGGTTAATATTAAACAAAAACAATTACCGAAATCAGTGACCATCAATTAGACAATGTTGACTAAATAAATAAAATGATGAGTTGTACAAATAACGCAGTACCAAATACCCGTTGAAATAAGTAAGGTAGTACCATTACCAAAATATAAAACAGGTCGAATTGTGTTTGCAGAGCGGGTACCTTGGTGGCCTGCGCTCGAGCTTGGGCGGGTTGACGCAGAAAGTGAAGTCTTGGTACTGGGGCAGACCTCTAGTAAGTTTTAGGCCCTCGAGCACAACGCATGCGGCATATATTTTTTAATTATTTATTATATTAATATTCATAGATTGGGCACTACTATCTATTTCTTGTTGCCTCACCCGTCTTGTCCTTACTTATTTAGTTAGATTTACCGGGTGCTCATCAAACTAAAAACAATATTTGGAAACCAACTTTAACTAATCACTTATTTTGTTTCCAAACATTTTTTTTTATCGAAACCACCCGGTATATCATATTAATATCAAGTAGTTGTGTGTTATGATCAAAGGGATCGATTAATAATCATGGCAACGTGTATACAGAATGCTTGTGAATATTAATTAGAAATTTCGCGTGTCAATAAATTTCTAAAGTAATCAAAGATTTTTCGAATGTGGTTGCACCAATACATAGAAAATAAACAAACAGACAGGCATGTTTCCAATTAATTATTTTGTACCTATTAAAAAATATTTTTTAATTAATACATCGTTTAGATCAAACGTTAAATTAATTTTCATTAACAGTTTTGGAGGTTGGATTTAGCTTACCTGAAACAAAAATTATATAATAATATTATTAATTATTAATATGTAAAAGCTATAAACTAAGGATTATGAATCCAAAACTAATGGCAATATAGCACAATTCAGTTAATTATAATTATCAATTTAACTTTTCTTATTAAAAAAATGTTTTATTAGAAAAATTAAAAATAGAAATATGTACTTGTTACATTTTATTTAAGAAAATACTGGATCTAGGATACCAAGCAAAATCAAAGAAAAATAAGACATTACAAAATTAAAGCAATGAGCCTTTTTCCAAATCACTTTTTATAAATATCACATTTTTAATAGCTATATACATTTTACATTCATATTTACATATGTATGTATATTATGGTGATTCAAAAAATATAATTTTTGAATTTGAATGAGTGCCGGGCTGAAAAAGTTTCTAGGAAGTCTAGCAAAAATTTATAATAAATTATAAAATTGATAATTTTGTAATTTTAAACTCACATACTGGTTTAATTTTTTACAAAACCAAAAATTACAATTTTGTAATGTGGCTCTAATAATTTGTTCACCCACTGCGTAACGTGTTGCGCGCAACTAAAAATTTTTTGCCCAAAGAAGTTTCACTTATAAAATAAGGTTTACAAGTTATTCTTAGAGGTAAATGTGCTTAATAAGGTAATAATTTTGCATTTAGGGGACCAACAAAATGATTTTTTATTAGCAAATGGATTTATTTAATATATATATATATATATATATATATATATATATATATATAAAATAAAGTTTATTATAAATATTTTTTTTTGCGGCGGAACCTTAACTTGTATCTGGGCATAGGAATCGACTTTATAACATAAATATCGTTGATATTTTTGGATAAATTTACTATGCGAACTTAAAATCCTACCACAGAAAATCATACAAGTTTTGTTAAATTATATTGAAAATTAAGTTATTCAAGAACTTTTCTAATTTTTAGATTATTTTTTAACAATTGCCTATTTCACCATCAAAAACTATACCGAATTGCTTTTTTGAGGCTCTGAATTTTTGTTAGACTAGAAACTTTTTAGTCAGGCTTTCCTTTAAATTCAAAAATGATGTTTTTTTAATCACCCTTATGTATATGTAGGTACCTAAAATAACCTAATAACCTAAAATACCTAAAAATGAATTGGTCGAAAACAGCTATTTGTCTGCGAAAAAGCAGCCACTAATAATTCTCGTCAATAGCAATTTGTATCCCGAACATTTAGTCAATTTCCATGTAAAATTGTCCTCTGAATCCGAAATTGTCTTCAAAAGTTAGAAAAGTAGAACAGTTTTTGAGATATGGTCAATTTTCCATATAATATGGAGTTGACTATATTTCAAAAACTGCTTTACTTTCATAATTTTCGAATTCAGTGGACAATTTTACATAAGAATTGGCCGTTAAATGTTGGGAATACCATGGTATTTCATGGCCACTAATAACTGTATTACCTATTCATTTTTGCCTAATTCATATTTAGAGAGTACTTATTATGTATATTTTATACTACTTATATGAGGGGTATTTTTAAATTTTAGTTCACGAAAGTCCCAAACCAGTTTCAAATAAATCTAGCCCTCACGGCAGTCACTTTTTAATGGGAAAACACATATGTATATATTAATTTTTAGAGAGTATACTCTTTAAAAATGAATTAGTCAAAAATGAACATTGTCATACCGAAAATGCAGCCACTGATAATTTTAGTCAACAGCAATTTGTATCTAGGTTTTAAAGATATAGTCAATTTTCCATATAATATAAAATTGACAATACCTCAAAAATTGCTCCACTTTTAAAACTGTTTATGATATTTTCGGATTCAGCGGACAATTTTAAATAGGAATTAAATGTCCGGGATCCAAATTGGTGTGGTGGCCTGCGTTTTCGCTATGACACTTAGTCATTTTTGACTAATTCATTTTAAGAAAGTATGTATGTATACATACATAAATGTATGCATATATGTATTCTTAAAAATACAAATTTGAATCTTTATAACTTTGGTAATAATTGTAAAAAAATATATAAAATTTAACACAAATGTAGCAAGTTACTTAAATTTTATATGTTCGCTGGTTTGGTGCAAGACTATCCCAAGTCCATTTTCAAAGAATTGGAGAAAAACACTATTAAACATTTCAAGTTATTGTAACTAAATTGTTTTTTGCGTCATTCTTGTGAAACCTTCCAATTTTTAATAGAATGACGCAAAAAACAATTTAGATACAATAAATAGAAATGTTTAATAGTGTTTTTCTTCAATTCTTTCAAAATGGACTAGTCTTGCACCAAAACAGCGTGTTGTATGTATCTCCATATGAAGAGTTTCCATAGAATGTTTTCAAATTTAAATATATGATTTTGTGACGCATTAGACACATGCACAAATATGTATATATTCGTTTAAGTAAATATATAATTAAAATATATATATATATATACATATATTTAATAAAAATAGTAAAAAATATATAAATTTCAGCATTTATTAATGACAAAAATGGCGCCTCATATTTCGGCATTTAAAATTAAATTTAATAGATTGAACTGATTAAGAACAAACAATGGTTTGTTCATTGAGACAGCGTTGATTTACAATTCAGTAAATAACATTGCTTGACTTGTTTGCGTAACTTAGCCCCTGCCATGTTGTTGGTCTAGGATAGAACACGTGTTTGTTAACACATTGTTAAGCTAATCAATTATATTCAATGCAAAGTTTGGTTTCACTTTAAACAAGTATGCATTCAAATGGTAATTTATACTGGGTGGCCTATATTATTCACACACATTTTTGTTAATAACGGTATACCTTTGTACACAAACAATTTTTTTATGATACCTTAAACTACCAACCCTTAGAATTGGGACCACCCTGTACAAATAGTAATTTATAAAACGTAGGCATTTTAGAAAATTATTTACTTGCCAAATAGTCGTTTTTAAATTTTCTTGGTATTTCTTGTTTTCTTTGTAAACATAAATAATTTTGTAAGAGAATAGTACATTCTGTAACAAGTTTGGAATACAGCATATTCCGCTCGAGGAAAAATTTGACACACGAGCCGAAGGCGAGTGTGACGGTTTTACGAGAGTGGAATATGCTATTCCAAACGTGTTTCAGACATTATTTTCTCTACGACTACGTAAGAATAGTAACGCTTATATAATTTTAAACAGTGAAAAGAAACCAAGCAGTTTTTGACATTTAAGTTTTTTGTATTGTCAAACCATTTTGTGCTGTCACAATTTTATAATGTAAATTATAATAAATTTAAAAAAATGGTATGCCTAAATCTTTATTATAATTAAAAATAGTTATTTACACTAACTAATAAAAAAAATAACATTGTAACAAATACAAAACTAATTTTACAAGTAATCTATGTCAACATCTATTCTTTTTCTACATTTTAAAGGTCTTTTTATAAACTTTTTGAATCTGTCAAAACTTCAAAGCCGGTATAGTAGGTAACTGGTTTATAATTTTAATATCAAATTTATTATAATTTTGATTTGTATATTTGAAAAACAATAAATATAACTAATTTTTTGTGCCTAAACCTTAATTATACAACTGCTGTTATTTTTTAATTAATAAATAATACAGTAATATTTAAATATTTTTAAATTTTTTACGTTTAGTAAACAGCCAGGAGATGTCGTTACTTGTGACCATTCTTAACCAAGAGTAGGAATATTCTCGCACAGTATTGCAGAAAAACATCCTTTCTATGATCAAAAATTACAATAGAATGTTACTATTCTTAAGTAGTCGTAGAGAAAATAAATTTAACTTGCTAATTGCTACCTAAACAAGTTTTCCATTTTGATGAGAATTACTTTGATATTTTATATGTTTATTGCTGCAACTTCATCTTAAAATACAAATTTTAAACCAATAAACGCTCTTCTACTTGATATTATCTTTAAAAAATTCACGATTTTCGAAAGCTTTAAACCGACACACAAAAATGTAGATAAGTAATAATTTTTGAATCTCAAACCTATTAGATACTATGAGATTATGCTTTATAGCACAAACAAGCACACACTAAATTGGCAAAGAAATAACTTATTTTTATTTCTGTACCACTTTTGTGTAGACATAAGAAATTATGCACAAACCTTATTCAAGCAAATATTTTAACACAAATAGACTTAACATATGCATACATGCAGCTAATATGCCTTTGTAATGGGTGTTTTACAACTTTCCTGTCAAATTGTTAATGACACTACTTCAGGAATGTGGCCGGGTGGTCTAAAAAGTTATGTACATTGGACTACACCTAATACATACCAGAATATATTTGTGGATAAATAACTATTGAAGCGTACTTTTCAAACGTGCCAATTTAACATTTTTAGCAAAATAAAAACGTATGTTTTATTAAAAAAAAAGTTTATTTTTTGTTATACAAGGTGTCCCTAAACTTATTGGCATA